TAATTATAATAATAATATAATAATAGTAATAATCATAATAGTAATAATAATAATAATATTAATAATAATAGTAGTAATAATAACAATAATAACAACAATAATAATATAACCAGAGGCAAACGAAACGTGAATTTTCATAGTCCTCAAATCGCAGCGAAAATTTCCATCAGGCCTAGATCTAGTGATTACTATTTGCATGTTTCATTGGAGCATTGTCTGAACCTGTAAATTATAAATGTAATAATAATATGTGTCCACCCTTCTTCTATGGGAATACATGTATTTTTTAAATTTTATTGAAGACCCGAAGAAAAACATAGGTTATGAATTCAGAACCAAAGCGCTGTCGCAAATTTCATTAGTGAGTACTATTTACAAGTTTCCTTGGAGCATTGTCTAAACCTGTGAAAAAGTTATAATGTGTGTCCACCCTTGTATTACGGAAATATAATGTTATTTATTGAAAACCCATAGAAAGACATAAGTTACAGATTTAGAACCACAGCGCTATGGAAAAGTTTCATCGGTGAGTACTATTTATACGTTTCATTGCAGCATTGCCATTGTCTGAACCTGTAAATCAGTTATAATGTGTGGTCACCCTTACCTAAAGAAATACTTTTTACTGAAGACCCGTAGAGAGACATTGGCTACGGATTTAGAACCAAAGTAAGTTGTCCTTTTTCTTCTAGTTACATGGTTAGAACATTACACTATCTGCTTTGTGGTTTGATCTTTATTTGGGGGCAAATGAGGCAGAATAGGAGGAGAGTTGATGCCTTTGGGGCATGGATGGAGGATACTTGAGTATTGATGGGATAATTGACTAGCCTGTTGGAAAGGCAGAGAGAGAGAGAGAGAGAGAGAGAGAGAGAGAGAGAGAGAGAGAGAGAGAGAGAGAGAGAGAGAGAGAGAGAGAGAGATAAAGCGTGTGTGTGTTTGAGAGAGCGAGAGATGGAGAGAGGGAGAGAGAGAAGGAGAGAGAGAGAGAGAGTGAGAGAGAGTGAGAGAGAAAGGGGCAGAGGGGGATTGTGAGGATAGGGCAAGGAGGGGGGCTAGACCTTGGGGACAGAGTAAAAGAAACAAAAAAGAGACAAGGAGAAGGAAAAT